AAGATATGCTGTCATAACATCCATCAGATACATGTATAGATTCTTGGAAGCTGCTAGACTCATTAAGAATCTGAATGTAATTATATCCATTACCGGAGAATACGTTTTTTCATAATCGATTCCTGGTCTTTGAGAAAATCTTTGCGCTATAAAGCGGGCTTTATACCTTGTGACCTCATTTTTCTCATTTCTCTTTCTTACAAAAACCCATTTGTGTCCGACTGACATTACATTCTCTAGTGTTGTAACAGTAGGTCCAAAACATTTCATTTATTCAAGGAGAATAATTTTGTTTCAATGGTCATCTTCTATTTCTTCCAATCATGTATTTTCTGACATTTTGTTATGGACCTTGGATCTGGATCATCGCTTTCAAGATCTTTAGATAAAGAAAAAGCGAATATTCCATCAATATCTTTATTTTATCTCTGATCAATAATTCTCCATTTTGGGCGTAATTGATGGAAGTCTCATAATTTCTGTTTCACATTCGTCTCCATGGTGAATCTCTTTATTTGGTTCTTCTAGAACCTTTTCACAAACGTCTTCAGGACATTTTTCTTAAATGGTTCTTCTAGAACCTTTTTCCTCTGTTCTCCCATATTCTTTCTCTTTCGGAAAATTTTATCTTTACAACCCATCGGTCTCCCCCTTTTCAAATGAACCCTAGGTTTATTTGACATGTTCCCCTCAATGTGTTCTTCAGGAACACTAATTCTGGATGTAACATTTGTTGCGGGCACATACGACTTTGTCACCCTCTTTGTATCTGTGAACGAATCTGGTAACTGGTTTGCCATATTTTGCATATGTACAATTTTTTTAAACTTCCATCTCATGTTGATTGGTAGAAGGATCAAGATAAGCCAAAGATTTTGTACACCATGTGATATCTTTTAGTGATTCTCTCAATCCTCCCCCTAATGTGAGAAATTTATCTTCACTAAAATGGCAATCAGCCAAACGTGTTGTAAACATATCACCAGTTACTGGTTTAAGATACCTAATTATACTCGGTGACGTATAACCGATGTATATTCCCAAGCTTCTTTGTGGCCTCATTTTCGTTCTTTGCGATGGGGCTATTGGAACATAAACATCACATCCAAAAACACGAAGATGTGATATATTTGGCTCATGTCCATATACCAATTGTAATGGAGAATACTCATTATATGCATTTAGCCATATCTGGATCAGGACCGCAGCATGCAATACAGCATGTCCCCATGCATTAATTAGGAGTTTTATTCTCAATATTAACGGTCTTGCAATCTATTGCAACCGTTTAATTAATGACTCAGTCATGCCATTTTGTATATGAACATACGGAACCAGGTGCTCAACATTAATTCCCAAAGACATACAATAATCATTAAACACTTCTGAAGTGAATTCACCAGCATTATCCATCTTTCCTTTCTTTATAGCATAATCAATGAATTGCGCTCTCAACATGTTTATTTGGGTAATAAATTTAGCAAAACCCGTAATTCTTGTGGTCAATAGACACACATGTGACTATCTACTAAATGCGTCAATCAAAATTATGGCCCGCGTTGTGGGTAAATTGGTCCTTATATATCACCATGTATTCTGTCCACAAAATTTGGTGATTTATTCTCAATTTTGGCTGGTGATAACCGAGTTACAAGTTTTCCTTGAAAACAAGCATACATAAAAACAAGCCCGTTTATAATATTTTCCTGTTTTTCAACATTAGAATTTTGCACAATCTTTTTCATCATCATTGAACCAGGATGGCCTAATCTTTCATGCCAAACTTTAAATGTACTAGTAAATTTCTGGTTTGCTGTAACATGTGATTCAGTCATATTTATTGTGGTGCAATATAATGCAGAGGACAACATTTTCAACTCTTCCAATATATGTTTCCTCCCTGATGTAATGCACATATATTCATTGCCATTTTTACTCATAGTCTCTATATGATTTCCATTTATGTGGATGTCTTTGAAACTTAATAAGTTTCGGTAAGACTTTTGAGAATATAACGCATCATTTATTTCATTTTTTTTGGCATTGAAAAACTGACTCTTCCCGAGACCATAATAATTTTTGCATTACGAGATATCGTATTCACGCTTCCAGCAGAATTTTTCATTTTGAGATCGGAGAAATACTTTTTATCTTTAATTATCGTATACATTGTAGCAATGTCTGCCATACATATATCTTCATCCTTAAGTCTCAAATTCTGACATTTTCTGTATTTAAGAATTCGTAAAAGATACATTAATAAGTATTAAAAATATACCTGGTAACACAACTTATTGTACAATAGAACCTACAACCAAAATATTAAGAATGAAAGCATATAATATATCAAAAGTATTAAACTTTTGTTTTTCATGTCTTTTCAGAAATACATCATATTACATCAATTTGTGTCATTTTGTTTTCGTTGATTCTTCTGGATCAATCAGGAAAATTATAACATCGAGATGAGTGTCATCATTGAGGCCGTGAAAAGAAGGTATGGGTTCATCAGAAATGAAGTTTGTTTCACTTTCTTTCTCTTTTGCCTTCTATGATTCTCGGCACAGCAGCTAAATGTTTAGTTTATGAAAGGTACGTGTCCAATGTCCTTCCATGTTGCATCTGTAGCAATCATTAGGACGGTATCCTCTTCCTTGTCCTCATCCACGTCTATATCCACGACCTCGACCACGGTTTTGACCACGTCCACGTTCTTGCCAATTATTGTAGCTGGATGATGCAGCATTCACTTCGGTGAATGGTGCAGATCCAGTTGGACGGCTTTGGAGGTTCATCATTACGAGCTCATTATTTTGCTATGCAACAAGCAGAACATGCATTAACTCCGAATAACGAGTATAATCCATTTGCATGATATTGTTGTTGCAGGACTACATTCCCAGAGTGAAATGTGGAGAGAAATTTCTCAGTCATATCATAATCTCTTATAAACTTCTCCACATAACACCATTCTTGATGTTATATCAAATATCGCAGAATTATAATGACTAACATTTTTTTAGTCCTGAAACCAGAGATGTAACCACTCGTGTCTGGCTTTTGGTAAGATTATATATTTCTGGTGATCAAACTTTTCTTTAAGTGATTGCAAGAGATCTGCAAGATCTTCTTTGATGATGTAATTATCTTTTAAGCCTTCGTGGATATGATGACGTAAAAATATCATGGCTCTTGCTTTTTTTCTCATCTGATGTCGATTTCGACTTATCGATGGTATCAAGAAACATGTTTCCTCTTAGATGTATTTTTGCACCTATTGTCCATGTCATATAATTTTTCCTAGTAATATCGAGGGTAGTAATTTCGAGCTTTGCTAAATTTGTCATTATAACTGAATAGCAAAAGCTTAATTTATTAAATTAAATTTTTAAAAAAAATTGAAGATAGTAACGGTATAATAAAAGACAATTATTAAAAAACAATATGAGGAGGTAGAGCCTACCATACAATTACAGATTGCATAATAAATAAATGAAAAAAGATGGGCGTTTCAACCTTGCATGCAATAAATAAATATATATACCATGTGGTCATTTTGATCGTGAAGATATAGGATACCATAAAGATCAGCTCGGAGCAGACAGAGCCTATCATGTTGGCATAATGAATGATATAATTATTTGATCGTGGAAGCAGCGCTTACCATAATGATCAGTTCAGAGGAGACATAGCTTATCATCCCAACATAACATAGAAATAGAGAAGGTAAAACCTATTTTTCTGTAAATAAAAAAAAAAAAATTAAACCTAAGTAAATCTTACCTTCTAGATATAAATCTGCTTTCAGATATGTATTAAAAACGTCTATGTTGATAATGTGTTAAATAAAATTGTACCACTATATATTAATATAGTGAAGAGATATATAGATAATATATGAGATTATAATAATATATAGATATTTAGTGTTTGATGAGTAAGAGAAGAAGAGAAAGCACTAGAGAAGAATATTTTTCTTATTATTTCATATCTCTTTGCACAAGTTTGTTTTTGTATATAATGTAAGACTAAAGTGATGACTCATACACACTTAAGAGAATGATGACATGTGGAGAGGTGATTAGGATACAATTTTAAATAATGAAGACATATGGGTTGATGAATTATCACCCTTATTCATAACAGTTTATTTTGACTTTTTTTGTCAATATATATTTTTTAAACAACTCAGTAAACTAAATTGATGGAATTAGACTATATTAATTTTTAATAAATAAATATGATTTCGAAAAAAAAAATTAAGTCCATTAAAAGATAAAACGAAGATTCTGATTGGTTATAGATTTTTACTGTTAATACTGTAAATAATATATTGTAAAAATTGTGGCTTTAAAATATTGATAGTAACTTTAAACAGAAATTAAAATCTTATTTTTTTTTAAACAAAAAAATCTATAATTATAAAGGGAAAAAGAAAAAAAATGGCTATGAAAATATTTAAAAGTAGTTTTATTAAAAGTCTTAAATCAATTAAAGTATAATTTGATAAATATGAAAATCTTTACAGTTTTTAAAGTATAATTGGCAATTGTCGAAGTTATTTTTTCCCCTCTAAAACGACGCCCTAGTGGTTTCTTCCCCATCTCCCCCCAAATCAAAATTCACTGATAAACCGGTTTTTGTACTCAAATCTCTCGCTGTAATGTAGTGGAGTCAGTCAGTTGTTCTCGGACAACATCTCCATCCTTGGTTTTTTCGTTACAGTCTTTTAAAATACGACAAGTATGTTTCTGTATTGAAATTCTCTCATCATTGAAATCGAAGCACTGTGGTGTAAGTATTGCGATTTCGGAAATCGCAGCAATCAGCAAAAATGGCACCGAAAAAGAAGACATCTCCCATGGTTTGGGTACTGACCCTTTCTCCTTCCTCTGTTACAAAACTGAAAAATCTAATCTTTTTGTCGGAATAATTTATCTGTTTGCAATGGCAGTTTGTTTAAGTTTCCCTAAACCCTAGAATCATAATTTTGCTTTTAGGTTGTGAAATCGAAGCATTCAGCAAACTTGCCAACGGAGAAGAAGACATCATCCACAATGCTAGATTGCTCTCTTCTTCCAGATTCTGTACGAACTCACTTTTATCTTGAAAAAAAAAAAGACTTTCTTTATAAATTGCAAGGAAAAATATTACAAGGCTAAGAGTTGCTTAAGCGTACAACAAGAAAGACTTAGATAAACGCTCACAAGTGGTACTTAATGTTGGAAATTTGATTTGATTATGGCAGATTATGATTTCTGTATGTTAATTTTGTTTAACATTATACATTGTAACCTGTCTTTTAGGTCTCAGAACTGCAGTTGTCTCCGTCTCCGTCAGAAAAAATGGCACCACCTGCAATGGAATTGTCACAGCTCCCGGAAGAGTTACTGCAAATGATCTCAGAGAAGTTGGAGGACTGTTTTGATGTGATACATGCTCGTTCTGTTTGTGGCCCATGGAGATCCATCTTTCCCTTTCCTTCTTGTCTTCTACGTACAAGTTACTCTCTTCCATCGTCCACCAAGTTCCCTCGCAGAAGCAGAGGCTCGTGCACCCTTGAGAAGTTCCCAATGTTCCTCTTTAGAGTCCGGTCTCCTGCTGATGTGTTGCCTTCTGAGTTTTTTTTGGAAGCAGTAGGCCAAGATATGTCAGCGGACCATATGAAGCTTCCAAATCCTATTCAGTGCTCAGTGAAAGTGAAGATGGGAGAATCTGACCCGATCTTGATGAACATCGTCGACTGTCAGATTCTCCCTTTGGGCTATCAGTACAGAATGGTCAATTACGATCCTGATTCATTGGCAACAAGGTTCGGAGGCGTGGCTTTTCTCCCGCTACGAGGAGGAAAATTTGTCGTGCTTATCGGCCACTCTCGTAATTTGTTGGTGTTCAGAAGTGCTGAAATGAGGTGGATGCGCCTTGAGGGAGCCTCAGAAGCTCAATGCAAGGGTATAATCGCTTTTAGAGGCAGGTTTTATGCAACGTTTCTCAACGGAGACATCTTCGTTATCGATCCTTATACGCTGATACCGACTCCACTGATGCCGTCCCCTCTAACGCCCTCGCAGCCTCAGAGGCCAAGCAATTATCTGTTTGCAATCTGTGATGATGAACTGTTTCTGGTTGAAAAGTTCAACCCTTTTCCTGAAGATGAGATAATAGATCTTTGTCGCTTGGCTCTTAGAGTGAGTGTGTTAGATGAGAAGGCCGGTGAATGGGCCGTGGTTACCGATATGGGAGACCGTGTCTTCTTTAGTGGACACTATGGGAATGTTAGCTGCTCGGGTAAGGATCTTCCTGATGGTTGTGGTCTGAGCAAAAACTCGATTGTGTTTACCAATTTTGGAGGCGATGTAACGTACGCCTATAAGTATGGAGTGCATACAGGAAGAGAAGAAGATGACCTCAGTTTTTGGAGATTCTTCAGTGAGAACCGCGTGAACTTCCTCAAAACGTATTCGGTGGTGACTCTCCGGGTTGAACGCGAAGCCGTAGATACCTGAGACTGTATCTGCTGGCTTTTCGTAGTAGATCAAACACACCAAACTTTACTTATCCCTGCGATCTTTGAAGTTTATGGTGATCATTAGTATTCTATTTTAGCATTTTCTGGCCTCTTATATTTTGATGTATAATATTAGTTTGTTGAAACATGTGGAACTTTAAAAAATGTTTGGAATCCAATGCCTTATTTTAGTTTGATGTAGCCTTGTTACCTTACTCTCGGTTACCATCTCACTTGAGAGAGCTGTGCATCGTACGGCACTGAAGTTAAAATGTGTTGCAGATCACTGAATAGTGATTTCTTTCATAACAGTAACTCTTATACCTTACACTTGAGATTATATATATATTGTTTAAACTAGTTGGTTACATTATTGATTCTGAATTCTTCTCCTTCGTTTGAATCTTTTTCAGGTTCTTCTAATACATTTCACAAAGGTGAATGGCATGAAAGAAGGATGAGTCTATCAGTTTGAGGAGGAGAATCGATGATGCTAGAGTTGATTTTGGAAGCATGGATAGAATCTCTTGTTCTTATGTTCTGCTCCAAGGTGAAACCAAATGAAGTTATTACCGTCTCAATGTAATAAAACAGAAGCCCATTATGTAATGAAGTAGAAGCCCAATGGGCCCTTTCATAAAATTTGATTTTATAGAAATTTTTTCTCCTGGCTACTTTTCAAAATTTGATTTAAAAAAATACATTGGTACCTTGGTTTCAAACGAAGCAAAAGCTGTCTCCCACTCAGATCACTTGAAGATTAAACATCTCTTGGGAAATTTAGGGTTCTCAACTTTTGTGATTCTGTTTAATCAAGGATTTAGGTACGAAAATGAAAAAAAATCTATTTCTTATTAAGTTTTGGAATCGGTTCTCTTGTTTGCAAAATCTTGTTCTTGTAGCACTCATCGTCAGTCTCAGCTCTCGGAAGAGTTACTGCACATTATCTCTGCGTATATGGATGATTGTCTCGATGCTATTCATGCTCGTTCTGTTTGTTCACCATGGCGATCCATCTTTCATTTTCCCACTTGGATACTAATCATAAGTTATTCTCTTCCATCATTCGACAAGTTCCCTCGTAGATGTAGAGGCTTCTGCACCCTCGAGAAGTTCCATGTGTTCCTCTTCCGAGTCTCCTAAGAACACCTTGCCTTCTGAGTTCTTTGTGGGAGGAATAGGCCAAGATAAGTCAGACCATATGAAGCTTCCATCTCCTATTTAGTGCTCAGTGAAATTGAAGATCGGAGAATCTGATCCGACATTGATGAACATGGTCGACTGTCAGATTCTCTCTTTAGGCTATCAGTACAGAATGGTCGGTTACGACCCTCAATCATTGGCATCAAGATTCAGAGGCGTGGCTTTTCTTCTGGTAAACAAAAAGGGAGGAAGAAGAGGAGGATATTTCGTCGTGCTTATCTGCTACTCTCATGGTTCGTTGGTGTTAAGAAGTGCTGAAATGAGGTGGATGCATCTTGAGAATCCCGCAAGAGCTGACTGCAAAGATATAGTTAATTTCAGAGGCAAGTTCTAAGTAGTCTTTATCAGTGGGCACGTTTACGTTATCGATCCTTATTTGCTGGAAGCGACTCCCATGATGCCCTCAGTGTTGGATAATTCCAATATTTTCTAGATTAAGTTATCTCTTAAGGTGTAGCTTAAAGAGATTTAGAATAGAAAATATCAAGAATGGAAAAGATGAGTTTTCCATTCCTAATAGAACAAGGAGTTGTTTGATTTTATAAATAGAGAGCTTATGGAGAGTTGTTCCATAAAACATAAGAAAGGTTTAGTTTTTGACTTTTTCTAAATCTAATAAAGAAGTGCAGTTCTTTATACTTTTGTGTTTGAGTTTTACAGAGCTTCAAGGAGAAATCTCGGACCTTTGAAAAGTTGGTGAACCAACAATGGCAGATGTGAATCATCCACAACTATGAGCTAGAGAAACTGGAACTTCATCCATCCAATGTCTGATGCTTACATCGACAAACTATACAGTTTGAACGATGGGGTTGAGGGTCATAGACTCGAAGTATGGGATACAATTGATCTGGGGTTAGCTGTTCCGAAGAAGAACTATGCAGCGATAGCACTTCTCTTCCAATCCATCTCGGAGTCACTTATTCTTCAAGTGGGAGAGCAAGAGAAGTCAAAAGGAGTATTGGATGCCATTAAATCACGTCATCTTGGAGCAGACCGTGTGAGAGAAGCAAGACTTCAAACCCTGATGGCAGAGTTCGATAAATTATCAATGAGTGATAACGACTCCGTTGATGACTTCGTGGGAAGGATATCAGGACTTGCATCGAATGCAGCTTCCCTTGGCAACGTGATTGAAGAACCCAAGATGGTGAAGAAGTTCTTGAAAGGACTTCCAAGAAACAAATATATACAGATCGTCGCATCACAAGAACAAGTTCTGGACCTAAACTCAACGGGATTTGAGGACATTGTAGGAAGATTAAAAGCATACGAGGAACGTGTTGGTGAAGTATCACAAAGCAACGATCAGAACAAGTTGATGTGGTCTAGCAATGACCACAACAATCGTGGAGAACAGAGTACCCGCGGCGGACATGCAGGTTCACGAGGGAGATCAAGAGGTGGTGGAAGAGGCATAGGTCGAGGTCGCACGAATGGGAGCTCTAGAGGAGAAAATAAAAACAATGCTCAAAATCGTAAAAACGATATGAGCAAAGTACTTTGCTGTAGATGCGACAGGCCGTGTCAATATGTATCAAGCTGTCCAGATTTGTCAAAGAATCAAGAAGCAAATCTGAATGAGACTCAAGAACCTGAAGCCCTGTACATCCACGAGCTGCTGTTCTCAAACGAGGACAAAGTATTTCCAGAGAAATATGATATCATCAAAGACAAAAAAGCATATGGTATTTAGACAATGGCGCCAGTAATCACATGACGGGAAACAGAGTGTATTTCTCAACTTTAGATGAGAAGATCAAAGGCAAAGTGAAGTTTGGTGATGGCTCCAATGTCGAGATCATGGGGAAGGGCACCATTGTTTTATAGGCAAGAATAGAGAGAGGAGAGCTCTAAAGGACATCTATTATATACCAGAGTTAAAACATAACATCATGAGCCTTGGACAAGTAACCGAGAATGGGTGTGAAGTTCATATGAAAGGAAACATACTGAAGCTGAAAGACCCCAATAGAAGACTGCTTGTACAAGTACAGAGATCGTCAAATCTCCTCTACAAGACACTGATGGACATATGCTATCCTAAATGCTTCCACATACAAGACGATGATATCACAAAGACATGGCATTCACGGCTAGGGCACATCAGTTTTAGTGTAATGTCGAACATGGTGAGGAAGGAGATGGTAGTTGGAATGTCAGAGAAGCTACTTGAGACAGGAGTATGCGAGGCTTGCCTTTTGGGTAAGCAAACGAGAACTCCGTTTCCGATCCAGGCCACTTTCCGCACATCACAAGTATTAGAGTTAATACACGGAGATCTGTGCGGACCGATCTCTCCACTAACACCAGCAAATAATCGATATGTCTTTGTGTTTATCGATGACTACTCAAGGTTCATGTGGGCTCTGTTACTGAAAGAAAAGAGTGAGGCTTTCAATCGATTCAAAGGTTTTAAAGAAGTCGTGGAAAGGCAAACAGGCTTAATGATCAAGACCCGTCGAACCGATAAAGGAGTGTTTACCTCACTCGAGTTTAACAGATTCTGTGAAGAGAATGGGATAACTCATCACTTAACAGCACCATACACACCGCAACAGAACAGCGTGGTAGAGAGGTGAAACCGGACATTGATGGGGTCGACAAGAAGTGTTCTTAAAGCAATGAGAATACCAATTTGTGGAGAGAAGCTGTAAGACATTCAACATACATCATCAATCGAGTTCCCTCCAAGGCGCTGAAAGACAAGACCCCTTACGAGTGTCTCATGAATAAGAAACCAAGTACCGCATATCTGCGAGTGTTTGGATGTGTGGCGCATGCAAAAATCACAGCACCGTATCTGAAGAAGCTAGATGAAAGATCAAAGAAAGTAATCAACCTTGGAACTGAGCAGGGCTCCAAAGCTTACAGACTTTATGATCCAATAGCAAAGAAGATAACGGTGAGCAGAGATGTAATTTTCGAAGAAAACAGAGCATGGGATTGGTCGTCATTAACAGGAGAATCAGATGGTGAACCAGGAATGTTCACACTACCGCGTTACGGTCCGATGGAAGCTGATGAAGATGATGTACAAAACGATGAAAATCAAGTGCATGAGCAACCTCACAAAGACCATAACGAAGGACAGGGGAGAATGGTGTTAATGTAGAGAACCAAGAAGAAGATGATGAACCTGAACCAGTATTAACGAGATATGATCGGAAATTCAATCTTCCGTCATATTTAAGAGACTACATGATGCTTGGAGACATTGAGAGCGAACGACTGTTGCTCACAATAGATGGAGAACCTGAAAACTACTATGAAGCTGCAAGTTTGCAGGAATGGATCGATGCTATGATAGATGAGTTGGATTCTATTGTACGCAACGGAACTTGGGAACTCGTAGACAAACTAGAGGGAGTTAAACCCATTGGATTAAAGTGGTCTACAAAGTGAAAAGAAATGCAGACGGCTCAGTGAATAAATACAAAGCAAGGTTAGTAGCGAAGGGTTATGTTCAACAACAAGGCATTGATTTTGACGAAGTTTTCGCTCTTGTAGCACGAATCGAAACAATACGCTTGCTAATAGCAATCGCTGCTACACACGGATGGGAAATTCATTACCTAGACGTCAAGACTGCTTTCTTGAATGGGGATCTATACGAGCTAGTCTACGTTAGTCAACCAGAAGGGTTCGAAAAGAAGGGACAGGAGAAGCGAGTGTATAAACTGCATAAGGTGTTATATGGCTTACGACAAGCTCCAAGAGCTTGGAATATAAAACTGGATCACTCCCTAAAGGAGATGGGCTTTAAGAGATGCTAGAAAGAGACATCAGTATATCTCAAGCGATCTGAGAAGGAGCTGCTGATCTGGCAATATATGTTGATGACTTGTTTGTAACAGGAACCTCACGGACAATAATCGATAAGTTTAAGGCGGATATGTCAAAACGCTTTGACATGTCGGACTTGGGAAAGCTAACATACGACCTTGGCATAGAGGTAAAGCAAGGCGAAGATGGAATAATGATCAAGCAAGAAGGCTATGCTCAAAGGATACTTATCGATAACAAGATGGACACATGCAACCCAACACATGTGCCAATGGATTCATGTCTGAAGCTATCAAAGGCAGAACATGAAACAGAGATTGATGCAACAGAGTACAGATGAGCGATTGGATGCCTGAGATACTTGCTGCATATGACACCTGATCTAGCCTTTGTCGTGGGAATTTTAAGTCGTTACATGCAAAGTCCAAGGGAGTCACATGGTTAAGCTATCAAGCAAATTCTGTGATACATCAAGGGAACTACAATTATGGGCTTGTTTTTCAAGAAAGATGGAGTGAAGAAGATCGTGGGGTACAGTGATAGTAGCCACAACATCGATGTGGATGATGGAAAAAGTACTTCAGGACATGTATTCTATTACGGATCATCACCAATCAGCTGGACATCTCAGAAGCAGCCAACAGTGGTGTTATCTTCATGCGAAGCAGAATTCATGGCGGCTACAGAAGCAGCAAAGCAAGTGATATGGCTCCAAGAGTTGATAAAGGAGATTCAAAACGAGGACAAGAAGATTGTGTTGAGAATCGACAACAAGTCAGCTATAGCGCTCACAAAGAACCTTGTTTTCATGGAAGAAGCAAACACATACTCTCTAAGTACCATTTTATCCGAGAATGTGTGGAGAATGATCAGATCGAAGTGGAGCATGTTCCCGGGACAGAACAGAAGGCGGACATTCTCATCAAACCATTGGCAAGGATTAAGTTCAAAGAAATGAGGAGCTTAATTGGAGTACAAGTGATCGATTTTCACCATAAGGTTCAAGTTGGAATTAAAGGAGAGAATGTTGGATAATTCTAATATTTTCTAGAATAAGTTATCTCTTAAGATGTAGCTTAAAGAGATTTACAATAGGAAATATCAAGAATGGAAAAGATGAGTTTTCCATTCCTAATAAAACAAAGAGTTGCTTGATTCTATAAATAGAGAGCTTATGGAGAGTTGTTCCATAAGACATAAGAGAGGTTTAGTTTTTGAGAAGTTTTTTAAATCTAATAAAGAAGTGCAGTTCTTTATACTTTTGTGTTTGAGATTTACCGATTTGACTCATAGCGTTTGACTTCACATAACTATATGGTTCCATCTGGTAATGATGAACTTTTCTTGGTAGAGAGAATCATCATTCGTAATGGTGTGTTGTGTTTTAGTAAGTTGGCATGTAGAGTGAGTAAGCTAGATGAGAAAGCTGGTGAGTGGGTCGTGGTCACCGATTTGGAAGAGCGTGTGTTCTTTATTGGACAGCCTGGAAATAGCTCCTGCTCTGCTAAGGAGCTTCCTGATGGTTGTGGTGTGAGTGGAACTCAATGTTGTTCATCAATGAGCCATTCAGTGTAACTTACTCGTATAAATATGGAGTAGATACAGGAAACCCTGAAGATGATCTCAGCTTTTGGAGATCATCAAGAGAGACTTGTGTGACGATCCTCAACAAATCTCCAATGATGGCTCATATGTGGGTTGATGCTAAGCCGTAAAATCTAGCTTCGGATACCTGAGAGTCTGAGATAATAATTGTCGGCTTTGTTTTATTAGATAAAAAATAATAAAAAATTCTTATGGTTTTAGATATTTTAGTTTATGTATTTTGTAGTTTGAAACTGCCCTCAAAAACCTTGTCATCTCTATGGAAATGGTTGTCTCGTGAACTCTAGGATTCGGCTGTGTTCTTTGTATCAGTATCACATGGTCATGTGTTTGACCAAAGTTCTTTAAATTTCCAAAAAAAATATGTGAAACATCTGTAACTTGGAATCCATTTAAGCTAATGCTTTTTTAGTTTGACGTATCTATCTTATCTATTATCAATACTCTCTACATTGACCATCTTTCTCACACCAAGACTTTGATCCAAAATTCTAAAGTTTTTCTTTTATATCATAAATTGTAAAGCTTTGGATATCTTAAACTCCATTGGAGGCCCTTAATAAGATATCTTAGTATTAAAAAAAGGAAAAAAAAATAAACAGTAGAAGAAACAAGAGAGAAGTTTCTAAAATATACTAAATAAGAATTCATTCTAAGTTTTTAAGATATTCAATTATATAGTTGTTTTGTTTTCATTGGTTACTTTTTCATTAATTATTAAACTTTAATTATATATGTTAGATTATAATAAAATAGTAGTTAAGATACTTGTTTTAAGAATTCCACCATTGTGGATGTCTTTAGAGTCTCTGATAAATATCGGTTTTAATATAGTGATGTTGTACCTATCTCCAGAGAAATGGACACGCGTCCACTTTTGTACATCAACCTTTTACAGGTACCTATGTAGTGCATGATTCAGTAATTTGATCTTGAAATTAGAGATTATGTAAGTGTTGGTAACTTTTTTAACGAAACGAAATGCATCATCACCTCTAAATCGTAATAGTATATTCCTATATATATGGTATGTGCATATTCCTCTACTGGCCATGTGATACATTTTTCCAATCGTATTCTCAATAGCTTTTTGTCTATCATATATAAGTGCAAGTCCCTCGTCATCTGGAATCACGTAGTTAAACTGTCTGAAAAACCACTCCCAAGATTCATCATTTTCTGTATCAACTACGGCAAACATGATTGAAAATACTTAAAAATTTATATCTTTAGCTGAAGCGGTAAGTAGTGTTCCTTTGTATTTTCCTTTTAAAAAATTTCCATCAATAATAACAACCTTCCTCAGGAAATGAAAACCATTCATGCTAGCACCAAATGTAAGGAAAAGATATTTAAATCTACCACAATCATCAACTTCTAAACGTGTAAGTGTTCCGGAATTTACTCTTTTAATCATATAGAGGTACGCAGACAAATCTTCATATCCGCTCTCTGCAGAACCCCTGACCAAATTTCATGCTTCCAAGAGTGTTCGATGCGCCTTCCAATAATCCTTCTATTATAAAAAAATAATGAACAACACAATGAATACCACATTATTACCATAATGATTAACACGTTATTGCCGAAATAACTCTCACCTTGATACCAAATCTCATTTTCATAGCTTCGGCAACATGACTTGGCAAACCATTTGCCCTAACACCATCAACATGATCCTTATACAAAAGTCCAAGTATAGTTCGCATTGCTTGACAGGACTGGGCAGAACGGTTTATAATATCTCCAATCGATGTAGCTCGAACTCTCCAAGGCAGCCTTCCACCCAACACTTAACTACTAAAATCTTGGGCCTTGATCTGTCAACATCAAAATCAAATTGATGTATAACTAATAAAATCTTCAATTTAGTTTCCAATGCATCTTTAGTGACGTACTGTTTTCCAGCGGCTAGTGAAATCATCTCCAAAGTAATATGTGGTGTCACGCCCTTTACTTCCTTGGTCATCATTGTGGGTTTTCTCTTTTTAATAGGTAGACTTTGTGATACAATATCAAAAATCAGTAAATCAAGGGTCTTCAATATGTGAATTATTATTAGAATCTGTTCTTCATAATTATCAAAGTCAAAAGATTCTCATTCAAGTCCAAAGCAAGATTGGTGGCAAGAAGACCATTATCTGATTTAGCTTATTTTTCTCCTTTTGTTTAAATGTAAATAATTTAAATTAAATATAATTTATTGTAAAGATTCTTTGTAAAAGCTATAAAAGCTCATTTTTCTCATTGTAAAAAATATATAGAAATTTTTGGAAATTAAAAGAGATTTTTCTCTAAAGCTTTGGCTTTGTTTTTGTTTATCTAAGCAAGATGGAATTCTTCACTTAGTAAACATTTGAATCTATGTCTTTTGTGTGCGATGCCTTGAGACTAGGTTTGTGAACTCATCACAGGGGCTTCCACACCCTTGAGTGGCGTTCTTCGATCCACCCATCTATCCATCTCATCCACTGATCCAGCCTGAAAGAGACTTGAGTCCAGCAGGATTGATCCCATCACCATCCACTTCGATCATCTCTTGAGCAAGTAGAAAGAGACTTCAGTCCAGCTGCTTGCTTCCACCCATTCACCCAACCATTTATAAGATCATCTCATTGATCTTATATCATTTGGTATCAGAGCTAAAAGCTCATATCCTCTATCTTTTTTATTTCTATTTTGTTTTTGTTTCATGCTTTACAAGATTTCATTAAAAAGAAAAAAAAAGTTTTGGTTGTTTTTATTCTTTAAATTTTATAAAACTAGAAAAAAAAAATCAGAAGAAATATTTTTATGTTTTTGATCTTTGATTTATGCTTTTTTATTAAAAAAACATAAAACCCATAAAACATTTCAATTGAATTCTTCACTTAGTAAACATTTGAATCTATGTTTCTTATGTGCGATGCCTTGAGACTAGGTTTGTGAACTCATCACTGGGGCTTTCACACCCTTGAGTAGCGTTCTTCGATCCACCCTTCTATCCATTTCATCCACCGATCAAGTCTGAAAGAGACTTCAGTCCAGCAGATTGATCCCATCACCATCCACTTTGATCATCTCTTGAGCAAGTAGAAAGAGACTTCAGTCCAGCTGCTTGCTTCCACCCATTCACCCAACCATTTATAAGATCATCCCATTGATCTTATATCATTTGGTATCAGAGCTAAAAGCTCATATCTTCTATCTTTTTTTTTTCTTTTTTGTTTTTGTTTCATGCTTTATAAGATTTCATTAAAAAGAAAAAAAAAGTTTTGGTTGTTATTATTCTTTAATTTTTATAAACTTGAAAAAAAAACTCAGAACAAATAATTTTATGTTTTTTTTTTAATTCATGATTCTTTTTTATTTTATAAAAACCCCAAAAAATTAGTGTTTTTCCCGTATCATTGAAGTTTGTTTCTTTCATTAAAAAAATAAAAAAAAACTCTATTTCTATTTACGCTTTTTGTTTATTTCGATTTTTCTGTTTAAAAAAAACATAAAATAAAAAAAAGTTTTATTTATTTTTGAAATAATATTTGCTAAAAAAAAGAGTTTTGAGGACAAAACCATTTGAAGAGGGAGAGAATGATACAATATCAAAAACCAGTAAATCAAGGGTCTTCAATATGTGAATTATTATTAGAATCTGTTCTTCATGATTTATAAAGTCAAAGGATTCTCATTCAAGTCCAAAGCAAAATTGGTGGCAAGAAGACCATTCTTTGATTTAGCTTATTTTTCTTCTTTTGTTTAAATGTAAATAATTTCATTTAAGTATATTTATTTGTAAAGATCTTTTGTAAGAGCTATAAAAGCTCATTGTTCTCATTGTAAAAAGATATAGAAATTTTTGGAAATTAAAAGAGATTTTTCTCTAAAGCTTTGGCTTTGATTTTGTTTATCTAAGCAAGATGGAATTCTTCACTTAGTAAACATTTGAATCTATGTCTCTTGTGTGTGATGCCTTGAGACTAGGTTTGTGAACTCATCACAGGGGCTTCCACACTCTTGAGTGGCGTTCTTCGATCCACCCATCTATCCATCTCATCCACTGATCCAGCCTGAAAGAGACTTGAGTCCAGCAGGATTGATCCCATCACCATCCACTTCGATCATCTCTTGAGCAAGTAGAAAGAGACTTCAGTCCAGCTGCTTGCTTCCACCCATTCACCCAACCATTTATAAGATCATCCCATTGATCTTATATCATTTTGTTTTACTTCTTCTTCCAAAGGCATCCCATATAAACTAAAATCCTCATCATCTGACGACGCTCCATCAGAATCATCACAATCATCAAACCGGTCATCATTATCGTCCTCATCTTGATTTTCTATATATGGTGTAACCACGTCAATCTTCACTATGTTTTTATCAGCACAGTTGTCTTCATGTTTCTGATATTCATGTTTACTCTGCATATCACAAGCAGTCGAAATGTTTTTTGGTACTTCTTTTGATGAACATGGTTCTTTGTCCACAGCTTTCTCCTTCAGCTCAACGCAAAGACGCGTTGGTTCTGTTTTTAGTTAGTCCAGAAAACCTTGAAGTTGTCTGCAATTTTTGACTTTTACAGGAAGAGTATTTTGCGGCAATTTTAGCAAAACCTTCTTAGGAAACATGTAACTCAATTCCACATCGTAGAATCACCATTCAACTTTGTAATCTTTTATAACCATGTGAATCAGATCTTAATAACGAGTATCATTATTTGCTGTGAGAATTTTGCACCCCTTTTGTGATCAACTTCAAATATCCATCTGTTTTTGTCGAAAATTCATTTGCCATAAACAAGAACAATTTGATCTATTAAATAAAAAAAAATATTTAATTGATCATGATGGAAAAGAGAGAGTCGACGGTCGAATGGAAAAGAGAGAGTTGATGTTTTAGTGAAAAAGTGCCGGCCATAGATAGAAATTAGGTATAGATATGATATTTGTTAATTTTAACGAAAAAACTGTCATGACTGGAATAGCGTAAACCTGTTGTCAAAGAAAACATAAATCTGCCACTGCAAAGTCTGTTGGCGAAGAAAAAAAATGCAGAAAGGTATTGTAGTAAATAAATTAATCTGTCGTGATATATCATCTAAAGTCTGTCATCAAATAAACGAATTTTATTTAAAAGTAGAAATTTGCTGCAAAGTGTACGAAAGACTGTTATAACAGACAAGCTAGTATAGTAATAATATTATAATTTTTTTTTGATGACAGACTAGTAAAAAATTTGTTGATGACATTAAAATCTGCTATGTAGTAAAACTATTAATCTGTTAAAAAAAAATCTGTGAGATAAATCTGTCGCAACATAAAATAAATCTGTTAAAGAAAATTTATATCTGTCAAATCATAACAACAAATCTGTACAAAAAACAAAAAAATCTGTCACATAAATTAAAACTGCCATCCTAGAGAAATACTGTTATTTCGTGTGGTAGAATTATTCAAAAAATTTGTGAGACTAATTATAACTGTCATATTGAGAAAAAACTGATGCATAGTGTGATAGACTTATTAGACTATGTACAATGGTACAAAGATTCAACACTCTCCACCTCATTTTTAATACTCCACATCATCTTCTCTCTCTTCCACCTAATCATTCAACACTCATTCAATTTATATTGCTTCCAATGGTTTTGTTTAATAAAATCAACACCATACCCTACTAATTTATTTTATATTATCATTTTCCTTTATTTTCTAATAATTACATCTTTATAACAATTATTGATTATGATTAAACTAAACAAATTACAAAATTATTAGGATCCATTTTGAGAATTAAAAGTTTAAAACTAAAAATAAGTGTTTATAAAAGAATTTGTAAAGCTTAGAAAAAATAATTTTTTGTGTGTCCAAATCAAAAGATATTTAAACACTTATTTGATTTGGACACACAAAAAATGATAAAAATTTTAGTATATAAAAAAATATTTATATATTTAATTCGTTATGAAATAATTGATATTGAATCATTAAGATGAAAAAAGGAAACCAGAAATCTAAACAACCAATCAGAATTCAGCTCATATTGTTATCTTTATATAAATATCTAATTTATTTTTCGGTTCAATAAAATTAAGACACATGGTAGTTACTTTTACTTTTCAACCGAATTCAATATGTTGAATTAATTCAACACTGATTTCTCCACATAGATTTCAACACATGTTTCAACACCCATTGCATACATTTAACTATTAAATAAATGATTCAATATACCCATTGTAAGTAGTCTTAACAAAAATTTGTTACTCAAATAACAAGTCTGTTACGTGTAATAAATCTGATGAATAAAATAAAGATATGTTACTAAATAAACAATTTTGTTAATATTGAAAAAATAATTCGCCCAAATTTGAATGGCAATTTTGTTAATATTGATTTTTTGGAAAAAATATTAATAGCAATTTTATAAATAGTTTTTTCTATCAAAACCTAAAAAGATATTATAGATATGAAAAATGAGTGAATAATTAAATTAAAATAAGAGTTACTTATTAATATTAATTTTTGAGCTATTTATGTAATCTTCCCTTGTTTTTATTAGATAAAAAAACAAAAATTTCTTTAATGTATTTTGTAATTTGAAACTGTCCCTCAAAAACCTTGTTGTCTCATGAACATTATGATTCGGCTGTGTTCTATACTTCTTTGTATCAGTATCACACGGTCATGTGTTTGACAAAAGTTCTTTAAATTTCCAAAAGAAGTATATAAAACATTTGAAACTTGAATCCATTTAAGCCAAATGTTTTTTTAGTTTGACGTATCTCTACGTTGACCATCTTTCTCACACCAAGACTTTGATCCAAAATTGTAAAGTTTTTCTTTTATTTTCTCCAGATTTAAATCCGAATTTAACCATATTAAACGGAATTATTAACAGTGTACTGTTAACATCAAGTATTTAAAATTTGGTATTATTAATTTTAGCTAAAGAGTTTAAGCATTGGCTAAATTAGAAAATTTAATAACACTTTCTGACCATTTTATTTGTGTGAAGTTAAGGATAGAAGGACAACAAAATTAAATTTTTTTTTTTAAAGTTTATATATTAGATTAAACCCCTTTGTTTACTGTGATTTTTAGGATTCTTGGACTTCTCTAAACCAGGTTTGTGGTCCGGGCTCTTTCTCCCTCTTTAGTATGAAATTGAAAAGATAATTTCTCATCCAATTCTGGAATTTGGTTCCATTTCTTCAGCATTTACTGGCAAATCATGTAACTTGTAGTCTCACTTCGGTTCAGTTTTTCAATCGGGATTGTTGTGCGATCTCTGTTTCTGTTTGTTTACAGTTTCCTAAATCCAGAAGCTTAAATTTTTCTTTCAGATTCAAAAATCCCAGCCAAACATGGCGGAACCTGAAACGGAGAAGAAAACATTACCAGTGATGCTACACTGCTCTCTTCTCTCGGATTATGTACGAAACCTTTTTCTCTCCTTCTTAATATCTTAGCATAACTACGAGAAGTTTTTTTTGGTGAAATACAATTTCGTTTAATTGTTTCAAAAATTACAGCAATCTTCGTCTCCACCAGCAAAAATTGCAACGAAAGAGCGAACGTTGTCCATACCAAACTGGTCTCATCTCCCTGAAGAGCTACTTCACATCATCTCGACACATCTAAAAGACTGTTTCGATGTTCTTCACGCTCGCTCTGTCTGTCAATCATGGCGATCCACATTTCCCTTCCCCGCTTGCCTGTTAAGCCCAAGTTATAGCCTTCCCTCATACGCCACGTTCCCTCTTGAAAGCAAAGAATCGTGCACCACCCTCAAGAAGATCCCTTTGTTTCTCATTAGAATCACGATTTCTCCAGGTGCTTCTGCGGCTGCTCCTGGCTATTTGTGTTTCTTGGGAGGGTTAGGCAAAGGTACAGAGCTTCTTCTTCCATCTCCCACTCTTCAGTGCTCAGTGAAAGTGAAGATCCCAGGGTTTTTACCAACAGTGAGGAACATGCTCGACTGCGAGATCGTCACTCTGGGCCATCAGTACAGAATGATCGGTTGGGAGCTTAGAGATTACAGAGGCGTGGTGTTTCTTCCGCTAAACAAGGAAGGAGAATTCGTCGTGCTTATCAACTACACTAATATTTTGTTGGTGTTAACAAGTGCTGAAATGAAGTGGAAGCAGCTTAAGAACGTCCCCGATGCTTCCTTCTCGAATCTAATCGCTTTCAGAGGCAGATTCTACGCAGCGTTTCGTAACAGGGAAGTCGTCGTCATCGATCCTTGTTCTCTGGATGTGACTCCATTGATGCCATCGCAGCCTGAGCCTTTGAGCTCGACTAATTATCTTGTTCCATCTGGAGATGACGATGAGCTTTTCCTGGTTGAGCTAATCATCCCGACTTTTGGTGATTCGCATGATCATCCTTTGACATGTAGAGTGAGTAAGCTAGATGAGGAAACGTGTAGATGGGTCGTGGTGAACCATTTGGGAGACAGAGTTTTATTCATTGGGTTTTTCGGAAACGTATCGTGCTTCGCCAAGGATCTTCCTGATGGCTGTGGTGTGAGTGGGAACTCGATTTTGTTCACTAATGGGATATGCAATGTAACTTTCTCTTATAAATATGTAGCGGGAAGTGCAGAAGATGGCTTCAGCTTATGGAGAATGTCAAGAGAGAATCGTGTGAGGATCGTCAACAGATCTCCGGTTGTGGCTCTCCGGTTTGAGCGCTAAACCGTAAAATGAAGTATCATACACAACTTTTAATTTCGATTTTACCCGATCAAATTTTGAATTTGGTCTCTTGGCTGTATTCTTGATGTCGCATGTGTTTGAGTTTGAGTCATTTGACCAAAATTCTCAATATGTTTAAATCTCAGTATGTAAACTCTCCGACTGGTCCGGAAGCTTTTTAAGTGGCTAAGTTTTGGTAAGTGCGTTTTTTCAGTCTGTTATAATGTGAAATTAAACCGGATAAAACCAAACATTGAACCGGTATATAGTGAGCGATGCTATTCAAAAGAAGTCATTTGTAAAACGGCGCGTCTGTTCACTGAAACCTAAAATCGAGATTTTACACTACAAAATGTCTCGTTGAAATGATCATTTCCGACAACTTCTTTATCCTTGGCATAGTCTTTCGATTCCTGACCTTCCCCCATATCTGAAAAGGTACTGTTTTTTATAAACTCATTTGTCGGCTTTAAATTGTAGTAATTGTGTTTATGTTCTTAGATTAATCTGAGAGGAACACTGATTTCGGAGACCGCGTGCTGTTTGTTGAAATCGATGCTCAGAGTGATTTTTATTCTTGCCCTTACAACAAAGTAATGATTGTAGTAATTATGTTATGTTGTTTAAGAAACCTTGTGGGTTCTCATTTTCGTAAATGGGGTTCGTGATTAATTCTGCAAAATTGTCACATTTAGGAAGAGATCGATTACAATATTGGGTTCTCTGTGGCTTTAGGTTTGTAAACTTCGGATTCAGGGTTTGAATTCTGGAATTGGATTTGATTTTGGTGTCTGAAACAAAAGATTGTTATTGTAGTCCGTGTTGATGCATTTAGAAATTAAGAGTGTAGTCAGTTTGGAAATGTTGTGTGTTGATGTTCGTTTAAGAATTTCATTAAACCGTATGAAGCTTAATTTTGTTTTTCTGATTTCTAAATGCGCAGCAATTGTAGAAATGGCAGAACCTGCAAGGAAAAAGAATACACCATTGTTGATTCTAGACTGGACTAAGCTCCCTGAAGAAATACTTGAACTCATCAGCGAGAAGCTTGGCTATTTCAATGTTGTTCATGTACGGTCAGTGTGTCGGTCCTGGAGAAAAATATTCCCTCTTCCTTCTTGTCTAGTGCTTCAGACCTTCTCTCTTCCTACATATCCAATCGAAAAAGTTGGAGTGTGTAGTGTGGAGAAGATTCCTATTTTTCTCTTTAAGGTTCAAAGAGCTCCTGCTGATTCTGCTACTTCTGCTTTGTCGACTTATTACGTGGGAGCTATAAACCGGGATGAGTGTGGTGATTATATGGAGCCTCCATCTCCTCTTCAAGGTTCACTGAGAGTGATGGTATCAAGATCTGATCCGAAACTGGTGAATATGGTTGACTGCGAGGTCTTCTCTATGAGCCATCAGTACAGAATGATCTGTTGGGATCCTAAAGGACTAAAAACAATTTACAAGCATGTGGCTTATCTTCCGCTACACAAGAAGGGAGAAGGAGAATCCGTTGTTCTCGGTGGCTGCAAGAAATATCTTCCGCTACACAAGAACGGCGAAGGAGAATTCGTTGTTCTCCGTGGCTGCAAGAAATATCTGCTGTTCTTAACAAGTGCTGAGAGGAAGTGGAAGAGGTTTAAGGAAGGTTGGGTATGCACAAGTGTAGTCACTTTTAGAGGCAAGTTCTATGTAACCATTCTAAGCAAAGGCGTTTTCGTTATTGATCCTTATACTATGAAAGCGACTCAGTTGATGCCTTCTCCTGGTGTGAGTGGAGCCAACTATCTAGTTCCGTCTGGTAATGATGAGCTTTTCTTGGTTGAGAGATTGGTGATTAGTGCTGGTCGGATAACGTGTAGAGTGTTTAGGATGGATGAAGAGGTCGGTGGATGGGTAGCCGCTACTGATTTGGGAGGTGGAGTGCTGTTTTGTGGACACGAAGTAAACTTCTGTTGCTCGGCTGAGAAGTTGCCCGATGGTTGTGGTGTGACTGGTGACTCGGTTTTGTTCACCAATCATCTGAAAGATGTGACTTATTTTTATAAGTATAAACCACCCCCATGTGCAGCAGAAGGCGTTGGGAGTGAGTGGATAATCTCAAGAGAGAGTCGTGTGAAGTTCGTCAAATCTAGATGTCCTTCTGTGGCTTTTCAGGTCGATTTGTGTGAAGAATGAAGATCATCAAATTTAAATCTCAAGACATAGTGGTGTGAAGTTCATCAAATCATACGTTGGCTACTTTGAGACATCTATTGCTTTTGTTTTTCTGAAGGATCAAAACAAAGGAATCCTATGGTTTTTTTTTGTTGTAGATCTTGTACTGCTTGATGCTAGTGGTTTAACACACATCAGTGTCAACGAAAAATATTGTTTCATAAAATTTTCTGCATTCTGACTGTTAATTCAAAAGAGTGAGTGAAACAAAACACTTCAATGTATATAAAGAAGAATAAAAAAACTCATCATGAGAGCACCTGCATTGCAGGTCTCTCAAGTAGTCTCTCAATTTAAAAAACTAATAAATAAAAAAGAAGGAAGAGAGAGAGGGAAATGAATCTTTCATATGAAAGATTTTGAGAGACTCTCTAGAGATTTTTGATATACTTGTCTTATTGTGAATGATTCAATATTTTTTGTTTAAATAAAAATAATTCAAAAACTAAATCATACTAAATATAATAATTAAATATTAGATGAAAGACTCATTTGAGTCTCACCAATGGAGATGGTCTTATGTTCGATTATCTCAAAGCTCTCGAGTTCCAAGGAGGGTTCCACCAATGAAAATTTTGACAAACCACAAATTCCATTTATGAGATTCTTTTTTTTTTTTTTTTTTAACAATAGATTCTTTTTATTTATTACACTTTTTCTTCCATTGCAGTGTAAGCGTTAAAAGATTTAGAGATTTTGATAATATGGCGAATCAACATTTCTTCAAGCCTCTTCTTCCCGGATTCCACAACCACTTGGTACTCTCTCTATCTATATATACCTTCTTGTATATCTATCTCTGTTTCTCTGAGAAGCTGATTGAGAAAGATGGTCATGGTTTTGCATTTGCATGTTGCTGCAGACAATTCCTACAACTTTTTTCTTTAAGCATATACATAGAAAATCTGAGGAGAAGATGGCGAAGCTGAGAACAGACGTGTCAAAGATAACCTGGGAAGTGAAAGTAGAAGATGGCCGGAGACTCAGTGAAGGTTGGAAAGAGTTTGCTCTCGCGCATGATCTACGAGTTGGTGACATTGTCGTTTTCAGAAAAGAGAAAGACATGACTTTCCATGTGGTAATGTTCGGACCTAGTTGTTGCGAGATTCGATATGGATCTTGTTTGGACAACAAGAACAACCTCGGTGAGTTGTGTTCTGTTTAACTCTGTCCATGACCATGACTCTGACTTTGAGAATGGCATTTAGAAGATCTATCTTCAAATAAACTCAAGTTGATTTTAGAATAAAGAGTGTACCAGTAGAAAGAACCAGTTTGATTATTATTACAGGTTGGATTTAATCTTGTTTTTTTCAGGGAAGATTCAAAGGAAGAAGAAATCCAAGAAGAATGCAAGAAGAGAAACAGGGTCCTCTCTAGACCCCTCTTGTTTTGTGGCTAATGTCACTCCTTTGACAATCCAATGTGACAGACTGGTATCCACTCCTGAATTGAATCAAATTCTGTCTCATTTAAGGTCTGACCAAAGTCATGATGTATTTTAATGAATATTTTCAGAATCTTCCAAGTAGTTTTGTGAGGAAAAATGGTTTCGACACAAGACGTGGTGAGATTGTTATAATGAATGAAAAGGGCACATCATGGACGTTAGATTTGAAAGGAAAGAACTCACATGGAGTTACTTATATCAGTCGAGGGTGGAGAAGTTTTTGTCATGCTAATGGACTCAAAGCTGGAGATGTCTTCACTTTCAAGCTGATCTAGAGAGGATCGACTCTGGTTCTATGTTTGTCTCCCAAAGAGTCCGAAGAAGATTGCTCTTCAGAAGCTAATGACATGGAGTCTCTTTCCACAGAAACCGACAGCGATGTAGAGAGCAGCAAAGAGAAGAGGAGCTCACATGACTGTTCAACAAGAAACGAAAACAAGGGTATGGTGATATGGAAAGCTTCATCTTCCACATCCGAAAACCAATTTGTGACAGTAACTCTTACACCTTACAACATCAGATTATCCAGACTGGTTAGTTTCATCACCAAGGCTTTGTTTATTTTTGAGCACCTTGTCCTATGGTTTGAATCTTGCTCAGGTTCTTCCAATACCGTTCACTAGAGTGAATGGTATTAAAAGGACAAATAAGATGAGTCTGTTGGATAAACACGGCGTCAAGTGGTCTACAAATCTGCGGTTTGAGGAGGAACGTAAGAGAATGAGAATTGTAGGAGGTTGGAAAGAGTTCTGTGACACTAATGGTGTGAAGATAGGAGAGTCTATCGTGTTGGAGCTGATTTGGGAAGGAGACAAAAGCTCTGTTCTTAAGTTCTGTTCCAAGGTGAATCCATAAAGGATACTAAATTGTACTGATACAGAGGTTTTATCTCTAAGTCAATCACCCCTCTATGTGAATTAATTGTAGTATAACAAGGATTTTATGTCAATCCAAATGGGTTTTGTTGAAAGCAAAAGAGTTGTGAGCAGAAATCCTTAAGTTAAGCAAAGCAAAGAGAGTTTTTGTTGCCTAAGCAACTTATCTAACAACCTAGAATGATCAATCACTAAAGAGAATTCAAAAGAAGACAGTTTAGCAATGATCAAGAAGTAAAGCAGAGCAAATAAACAGAGTACTAAGCAACTTTGAAATTCAATAAAAGAGAAAGCAAGTTCCTAGATGTGGTTATTGACTTTGGGGAATTCAGAAACTAACTAAGGTTGTTTCAAACATCATTGATCAAGCAAACAAGCTAGGAATGGTGGTTCGTAGACATAGAGTTCACAAACAAGCAAGCTAAGTCCAATCTCTTGTAAAATAGTCTTCTGCTAAACACCTTAACAAGAACTAACTCTTATTAGTGCTAAAACGTTTAACAAGCAATAACAACCAACTCTATTCATGTCAAAATGCTCCTCAAACAGTCAATCTCTTGAGCCAAAGCCAGCAAATCCTCTATTAAACAAGATCGTCATTTCATCAAACACTTGGTGGGCATAAGAGAAAGCTCAAATTCTAGATAAGTGTGATCAAGACAAATCTAGCTTAAAAACAGATTAATAGAGAGGAACTCATCAATTTAAACATTAAACAAACTTTAATCGATCCCTAAATCCCTTTAATCTACCACATCTAAGAATTCTAAGAAAACTACTCATTAATACTCATGTTTAACACCAAATCACAAGAGGAAAATATGTTAATTATGATTAGAAGAGAGATTAGAGAAAGATTAATGGCAAATACAAACTTAAATTAAATAAAGCAAGAAATTTGTCTTACAAACCCAGAAAATAAACTCAAGAACAGTGTTATGAGGTGACTACTCGAAAATCACAGAAAAAATGTATTTATACATAAAAGAAGGAAGCCCTAAAGTAATGGCAAAAGAGTAATAAAAGACAGGCTCAGACTGGGTTCCTATCGGTCAGTTGTGACCGATAGGGTGATCGATAGGGATCCTAACGGTCTGGAAGATGACAGATAGGTTGACCGAAATATAAACGGTGCATTTCTATCTGTCACTTCTCTGACCGATAGGCCTGGTCGATAGGAATCATATCGGTCACTCCTTGACCGATAGGCCTTGTGCCTTGATCGATAGGCTCTGCAGAGATCATCTGCCTAGGTCTCTTTTGCTCCTCTTGGCTCAGCTAGCTTCCTGGATCATCCCCAAAGCTTTTCCAATGCTCCTCTTAGCTCCATAAGTACCTAAAAACATCTATAATGCATAGAAAATGCAAACTATCTCCTAAATGCAACATAAGTCTAAAAGAAAAAGAAAATGAGACAAAAGATAAGGAAAACATGCAAAAGAGAACCAAAATATGTACTAAATGCAAGCCTAAATGATGTAAATACAAAAGATATCATGTACATGAAGCTATTGGATTGCATGAATAAATGTTTTAACTAGTGGAATCCCTTTTAACAATGGTTGTCCTAAAATTTAATTCTGAATGCTGTTTCTGTGTGAAGATGACATTTTAAATTGCTTTTGTTGTGTGAGCATTCTAATTTAGTGTAGTGATTCTCAATTATATTGTGTGACTTATAAATTTGTGACAGCACTTATTTGTTGGCTAATCTTATAAAGATATATTTACTTGAGCTAATATCTAGTTCAGTCCTATATAAATGATAAATATACCCAACAATGTCAACTGTTCAGCGATTAAAATTGTTTATAAGAAAAAAAACATTGGAAACTTGCAGAAACAATATATTGAATCCAAAAATCAGTAGAATAGCATCAAAGAACACATGACATTTATATGCAAAATTTGTCATTTGTGAGCTTAAACATTTTTATGCTTAACTTCTTGAGTACTTGTCATTTATATTTTTGCTTTTAGTGATTCATTTGTTATTTTTCACTCTTCATTTTTTTTCTCAATTCTTGGCTCTGTTTTCTTCAATCTTTTCCATCTCAGTTTTTGGCTAAAAAAAAAACATATAACCAGACAACAAAAATAAAATGAATTGTTTATAATAAAAAAGAGTAAAGATGAGAAGGTGAAAAAAGGCGATTGAGAAGGCAAAAAAATTACAGTTAATTTTCCTTATCCCAGGGGTGACGGTTCGATATTTTTTCGATGACGGAGGGCGAATTTCTTGGCAAACTTCCCCTCATCCTCGAGTATTCCCACGATTGTACCCACGTTCAATTGTGATGACAGTTTCTGCAAATCAGTTAAGCAACGAGATGTATATTTAACACCTATGGGCGATGCGCAAAATCCTCACCAAAATCACAAATCCATCTCGATTACATCCTGCAATCAAATTTCCACCATTTGGATAACAATGGCTGACAACTTGCGTCGAGCAATTCAAGATATCCATATCGGAACGGAAAATCCACCTTTCGTTCTACCTCAGGAAATCGTCCACCAAGCAATAGCGGCAAACCGATTTGTGATAATCGGAAGGCCAGTAATACCGCAAAGACAGAATCTCTGATCTATTGTTGCAAATTTACCAAGAATCTGGGGAATCGTCGGACATGCTCATTGCAGAATTGTTGAAGGTCGAAGATTTCAGTTTGTCTTCTCAACGGAGGAGGCCCTCGAGTGGGTATTACGGCGAGGACCATGGGCATTCACTGATGGAATGCTCATACTTCAACGATGGACTCCACGCACCAACCCAGATGAAATACATTGCATTCCATTCTGGATTCAATTCAGGAGAATACCCTTCCGATACCTGACCCGTGATTTATCGCCCACATAGGAAGGGCTCTTGGTATGCTTCTTGAGGTGGAATTCAATCCAGAGATGGCAGCAAGGGTGGATTTTGTAAGAGTATGTATCGACTGGGACATTCACAACCCTCTTCGCTTCCATAGATACTTTCAATTCTCTCCAGGGATCAACACAATGCTGTGTTTTACTAATGAGAGACTATGTGGTTTCTGTGAAGTCTGCGGAATGCTGATACACGACTCCGGTAATTTCCTCATTTAAAATAGAGGACCCGATCCTGATAACATCAATGATCAAGACGAAGAAGGAAGTGATGAGGAGCCAAACTTAGATAACCATGGTGAGAGAGAAGAGCGGGCTCACGGGGTAATTATTGAGGAGTTAAATGCGGATGATATGGAAGCATAAGCCATTCAAGAGCGTCAGAATAATGTGGAACCTGATGACGAACTTCAAGTAACAGAACCGATCGGAGCAGATCAAACATTGGAGACTGATACAATTTCTGAAGCCGATGATGACGAGAATGCGTGGCTCCAAGGTGGAATCTATCGAGGTGCCTCTATGCAATCAATGGCACTTAATGATGAGTATGATCTTGAGGTAATACGAAAATCCTATGACGAGTACTCTGTGGAAGCCAGACGAACAAGTCGCAATGCAAAAAGAAAGTTTGTAGAAGGAGGAGATACATCAAATAACTACTTTGCTAAGAGAGTTGAAAAGGGTGAGAGCAGCAGCACCAGAGCAGAGGATGAACGTGAAGAAATAGGTGGAGGCGTGGTGGGCCCTGAACCACGAAAGGCGCCATAAGGAAAGCCTGCTGGAACTTTCAAGGTCTAGGCAGTGACTTTACAGTTCGACATCTAAAGGAGATAAACAACAAGTATCTCCCGGACATCATCTGCCTGTCAGAAACAAAGCAACATGATGACTGTATCCGAGATGTTGGAGCTCAGTTAGGATTTCTTAATTACAAGTCTGTTCCGCCTCTAGGGCTAAGTGGTGGATTAGCCATCTTTTAGAAACATTATGTACATATGTCATTTCTTTCCCAATATCCAAACTTTGTAGATTCTGAAATTTCAAGTAATGGTATGTCTTTCTACTTTTTCTTCGTATATGGACATCCTATTGCTAGATTAAGGAATCATACATGGGAAAGAATGGAACAATTAGTAATTTCTAGATGCGGTTCTCTTTGGCTCATTATGGGGGATATGAATGAGATTCTTGGAAACAATGAAAAAGAAGGGGGTCGACAAAGACCCGAGAGAAGCTTCCAAGATTTCAGGAATATGGTGAAGCACTGTGATTTCATTGATTTGAGATCTATAGGAAATCTTTTTTCTTGGTATGGGAAGAGAGGGGATCACAATGTATCATGTTGCTTAGATAGAACAATGGTCAATAGTAATTGGTTGACAAAGTATCCAGCCTCTGTAATAGAGTTTCTTGAGATTGCAGAATCAGATCATCGCCCTTTAGTAACATTTATCTTAGAAGCACCCGATGAACGTCGAGGTTTCTTTCGATATGACGGGCGCTTTATGAATCAAGATGGGTTTAAAGATGCTATACTCCAAGGATGGTCACGATCGGGAACAATGAGTAATGTTAACATTCCGATTCAACAAAGACTGCAAAATTGCAGGAAGAATATCTCTCAATGGAAGTGAAGACATCGTACAAATGCAGCGGAGCGAATGGCTATTCTCGTAACCAAATTGACACAGAAATATCAACAGGCTCACCTACTACGGAACAATGGAAACAGTTAAAAAAGCAACTTCACCAAGCTTACATCGATGAGGAGATGTACTAGAAACTTAAAAGTAGAGTCAAATGGCTAAAGGAGAGAGATCGAAACACTCATTATTTTCATACAGCAAAAAAATCAAGGAGGGCAAAGAATCACATCCCATCAATTTTGGATGATCAAGGAGTAGTTTGCAGAAGCAACAATGACATAGCAAGTGTAGCGGAGAAATACTTTACTGCTTTATTTTCCACAACTACGACCCCTGCACTATATTTTGGAGAAGTCTTTCGAGGTTTCCAACGAAGAGTTACGAACGATATGAACAGGGATCTAGTTAAAGAGATTACAACAGATGAAATTACATTAGCGATTCAGAGCATTGGATCACATCAAGCACCAGGACCAGATGGATTCTCTGCAGACTTTTACCAAACACTCTGGCCAGATCTACAAGACACCATTGTACCAGAAGTTAAAGCTTTCTTTCAACACGGAGTTTTGGATACTACACATAACCATACTAACCTCTGTCTCATCCCTAAGGTTACACCACCAACAACAATGGTGGATTTCAGACCGATAGCTCTCTGCAACGTATTTTATAAGATAATCTCCAAAATCCTCGTAAATCGACTAAAACCACATCTGACATCATTAGTATCGGAGAATCAGGCAGCTTTCATTCCAGGACGAGTCATCACATATAATGTTGTAATTGCACATGAAGTCGACCATAGTCTTAAAGTCAGGAAACGCCAAGCATTATCATACACGGCCGTTAAAACAGACATCACTAAAGCCTATGATAGAATGGAATGGTCCTTTCTATCCGAGACATTGGCGAAGCTAGGATTTGCTAATAAGTGGATAGGATGGATAACGACATGTGTATCATTAGTGAGTTACTCGGTGTTAATTAATGGCTCAGCTGAAGGTTTTATCAAACCTGAGAGAGGCCTACGACAAGGAGATCCATTATCTCCTTACCTCTTTATCCATTGCACAGAAGTATTATCCCATATGATGAATATGGCTATTACGGAACGACGAATACAAGGAATTAAAGTCAGTAACAGATCTCCCACAGTGAGTCATCTCTTATTTGCCGATGACTCCTTATTCTTCACCTTAGCAAATCCAAAACCTGGTAAAGCACTAAGGTCGATACTCACACTATATGAGTCAGTCTCTGGTCAATCGGTTAACCTCAACAAATTGGCTATCACTTTCGGCAGCAAAGTCAGGACTAACGTTAAGAGTCAAATGCATAAACTACTTGGCATAAACAACGATGGAGTGGGGGGGAGCCTTCCCGAACAATTCGGAAACAAAAAAGGAGATATGCTGCAATACATCAAAGGGAAAGTAATATCTAAAACAAAAGGCTGGAACAAAACATTTCTATCGCAAGGGGGAAAGGAGGTTCTCCTGAAATCTGTCGCTTGTGCTATGCCTGTATACTCTATGAACGTATTCCATCTCCCAAAACACATAACAGCGGATATCAATGGAGTCCTAGCTAAATTTTGGTGGGGAAAAGGCAATGAACAAAATGGAATGCATTGGTATGCTTGGAAGAGACTCAGTATACCAAAGAAAGAAGGAGGTTTGGGCTTTCGTGACTTTAAACAGTTCAATAAAGCTTTATTAGCAAAACAAGTTTGGAGAATACTTCAACAGCCACAATGCCTTATGGCTTGGATCATGAGGGACGCTACTTTCCTGATGACAGCATATTAGTCGGTAAAAAGGTTCTGAATGGCTCATATGTATGGAATTATTTACTACAAGGAAGAGATTTACTCACCAAAGGCCTATCCTTTATAATTGGGGATGGATCCATGGCAAAAACTTGGTCAGACCCATGGCTACCTCTGCATCCACCTAGACCTCCAAAACCACGGCACCAACAAAATATGCAGAGCACGGTCAACATACTTTTTAACAGTACATATACGGGATGGAACGAGAATATATTAAGAGAGCTGATTGCAGATGAAGATATTGATCACGTCTTGCAAATCAAACTCTCAAAAGAAGGGAAACATGATCTTATTGGATGGTCGTATAACGAATCTGGATTATATACTGTCAAGTCTGGATACTGGCTTGCAACGCACGATCCAAATTCGCAGCAAATAACCCCACCAGATGGAGATGTCATGCTCAAATCAAGTATTTGGGAAAGCAGAGTTCCCCCCAAACTTAAAAACTTTCTTTGGAAAGTAGTAACAGGTACTATAGCAACAAGTGATAATCTTAGACAGAGACATATCACCAGGAACATTATCTGCAACCGATGCTATATGGAGGAAGAAACTGCACAACATATGTTTTTTAATTGTCCTTATGCCCAATCGATATGGAGAGGAGCGAGCTTTCTTCCCCCAAAAATAATTGACGAGGATTCTAATATCACTAACAAGCTGAAGGTCTGTTTAAACAAAAAACCAACTCAATGGTCTCACTGTGAAGATCTACCTTTGTGGATACTATGGCGTATTTGAATGAGCAGGAATTTACTTGTTTTCCAACGGAAACATGTACCGTGGCAACAGTGTTTACAATTAGCAAAGGTGGACTGTAAAGAAAGGACGGATATAGACGATCATCTTATTCAATTACAAGCTGGTAACGGAGGAGGGACATCAACAACTCAGTTCACATTGCACAACCAAGCAATGACAGAAACCACCAGCAACATGGATAAAATGTAACTATGATGGCTCTTTTATTAATACAGATATAACTTCCCCGAGTGGCTGGATAATAAGGGATAACAACAGGACTTTCAAAGGGGCAGCGCAAGCTCAAGGAATACGAGTATCATCAGCTGTAGAAGGGGAACTACAAGCACTACTATTAGCTATGCAACATTGTTGGAGCTTAGGATACACACGGCTTATACTGGAAGGAGATTGTCAAAGAGTTATCAAACTTGTTCAACAAAAGGAACTAAGCTTTCGAATGCACAATTGGATAAGAGATATACGTTACTGGGCATCCTGTTTTGAAGATATCAAATTCGAATGGACTCAAAAAGAAGCAATTAGTGTCGCAGATGTACTATGAAAGCATCAAATACCGAATAACCAAAGCTTTTATTTCTATAATTCAATTACGTTATGTATTTATACTTCTTTCGAAAGCGATCATGTAAACTCTATTACTTAAATATTTCAAGATGATAAAAAAAAGATATAACCATACTTTTTTTATTAATGAAGAGTGTAACTACAAACTCACTTTTACCCACTTGAAAGTTTACATGACTATCATGTTCCAAAAAAAAGGTTTACATGACAAAAAAACTATATATTTTGGTTATTTCCCTAGTTAAAAAAAATATAATTATTTAGTATAAATACTTTTATCTCTATCTAATAATGACATATTGTCGAAAAGAGTTATCGAATAGAAAAACGAAGTACAGTACTGGTTTACGGAGTCATCAGTCAATACGGTAACTATTAACAAAACGAAGTCAATAGAAAATCAAAGACCTATTATATATCTGTACGTACCGATGAATGGTCCATCAAATCTCATAGTTAAACACATTTAACCAAAACAAGAAATTAAGAAGAAGCAAAGACTTCAAAGACTTTTGGTAAACGAAAAAAAGAAATGATGATGAAGAGAAACAAGAGGCTTTTCTTCTTCCTCCTCTCCATCTTCTTCTTTGTGGAACTCAGCAGAGGACAGAAGAATAGAAGAACCCAAGTCAATATTGGTGTTGTAACAGATGTCGGGACAATGCACTCGGACATTGAAATGCTCTGCATCAATTTGTCTCTCGCCGATTTCTACTCTTCTCGTCCTCAATTTCAAACAAGGCTTGTTCCCAACATTGCGGACTCTAGAAACGATGTCGTTGGCAGCTGCTGCAGGTACCTTACATCTACATTAAACATATACATACACAACCAAAATGTATGGTTTTGTTTTTGATTTTTATTTATGCAACATGCATATGGTAATACAAATTACGCAATGATGTCACAATTTTTTTTTTCTGAAAATATAAATTAGTAATTATCCTTTAATTTGGTTAGAAAACTGCATTATGAAAACTAGGCTTTGGTTTTTCATCTTAGAACGCATGCAGTCTTGCAATATATGACAAAACATGTCTTACTAGTTTCTACTACTGCATACTTTTAAATTTGTTTATAATTAGCCGAAAAGTCATTATATTAGTTACTAAATTAAGTTACGTTTTAAAATCATTGAAAATTCTTTAATGAAAAATATATAATTAATTATATTAGATCTAAATTAGCAAAAGAGCGTGTTTTGACGAATTGTTAAAAAGGTTGACCGATTATCCATTATCAAATGCCTAGTTGCAGAGGTCGCGGTTAAGAAAATCAAAACAAGATTTGCATGCACGTAGAACGTTGACGAGAGAAAACCGGTGGACTTGACTTTTTTTTTTAAGTCAATGACTCATTTTATAAACTTCTTCTATTTCTTGTTTTTTTTTTCACTCTTATGGATTTTATACTCTCTCTCTCGGCAAAACCGAAAAAGATGCGGGTTTCCTCTAATATACATTTTTATTTATTCTCCCTCTTTGTCATTCTCTTAACTTATACTCAAAATGGCAAAATCTACAGTATCAAGATGCATTTAACTTTTTTTTGGTAAACAATTCTAACAATATATGACCTAAAATAGCTAAAAATATTTTGTTCTACATAAGAAAGTGATCTTAAACACTTGTTAAAACCACCAATAACGATAGTTATCACAAATCGAACCAGCTTACCTCATGGATAGTAAAGAAAAAAAAACTCAGGCGTAATGACAAAGCTTAGAACGATAATGCATGTTCATGAATGATCTAAATAATTTAGGGGATACAAGATTTTTCACACATATATTGTACGTTGAGTTGATTGCTATAATCTCGTATTCTACAGATTATATTTATGTCTGTAGTCTTACGTCTACGGTCTATCTATATATTTTCTTTTTAGTTAATGTTTGAATCAAGTCCTCACCTAACCAATGTTTTCTTCGTTTTGACATTGTAATAGCTCTTAAGCTGATAAAGAACAAGCAAGTGATAGCGATTTTGGGGCCATGGACATCCATGCAAGCTCATTTCATTATCGATATTGGACAAAAATCGCAGGTGCCGATTGTTTCATACTCCGCAACAAGCCCGTTTCTTACTTCTCTCCGCAGCCCATACTTCTTTCGAGCTACATATGAGGACTCCTTTCAAGTGAACGCCATAAGATCTATCATCAAGCTGTTCGGGTGGAGAGAGGTCGTGTTTGTTTACGTCGACAACACGTTTGGTGAAGGTATAATGCCACACCTTACTGATGCATTACAAGAGATCAACGTTCGAATACCATACAGATCTGTTATCTCTCTCAATGCAACTGATCATGAAATCTCTCTTGAGCTTTCTACGATGATGACCATGCCCACAAGAGTGTTTATTGTCCACATGTCCTCTGCTCTTGCCTCAAGAGTCTTTACTAAAACTAAGGAGATTGGTTTAATGAAACCAGGATATGTTTGGATCGTTACCAATGGACTTGCTGATGACTTAAGTTCGATAAGTGTGACGGGTATTGAAGCTATGGAAGGGGTTTTGGGTGTTAAAACTTATATTCGGAAATCCAAAGACCTCGATAACTTTAGAGCTTTGTGGAGGAAGAGGTTCCCGGGGATGGAGCTGAATGTATTTGGATTATGGGCTTATGATACTATCACCGCGCTTGCTATGGCCATTGAAGAAGCTGGAACAAAGAACATGGTCTTCAATAATGTGGATCTTGGAAGGAATGTGTCAGAACTCGAAGCTCTTGGTTTATCTCATTACGGGCCAAAACTTCTCCAAACACTCTCACGAGTTCAGTTCAGAGGACTTGCAAGAGATTTCCATTTTGTTAAAGGGCAACTGCAACCATCGGTGTTTGAGATTATAAATGTAATCGGAACCGGAGAAAGGTCAATAGGATTCTGGACGAAAGAAAATGGCCTTGTGAAGAAACTACTCCAAGAACCACAAAGCATGGGAGCTTTATCTACTTGGCAAGATCACCTTAAGCATATTATATGGCCTGGAGAGGCTAATTCTGTTCCCAAAGGATGGGAGATCCCAACAAACGGGAAGAGGTTACGCATTGGAGTTCCAAAGAGATCTGGTTACACTGATCTTGTAGAGGTCACAAGAGATCCTATCACCAATTCACAAGTAGTCACAGGTTTTTGCATAAAATTCTTTGAGGCCGTGACACAAGAAATGCCTTATGACGTCTCATATGATTTTTTTCCTTTTGAGACATCTGACGGTAAACCTGCCGGGGATCACAACGACCTGGTCTACCAGGTGTATCTTGGGGTGAGTTGAATCATTAGTCTATTGGTATTAACCCTTTCTAAAAATAGCTCTTAAGATGTTCTTTTTCGGTAACTCTATCGCAGAAATATGACGCGGTTGTAGGAGATACGACTATACTAGCAAACAGGTCTTCTTATGTTGACTTCACATTTCCTTTCACTAGATCAGGTGTGGGGTTAATTGTCCCTGTAGAAGACCAAGTGAAAAGAGATAGTATCAGTTTCTTGAAGCCTTTAACATGGAAACTATGGATGACTTCTTTTTTCTTCTTCTTCCTCATTGGCTTCACTGTTTGGTTATTGAACATAGGATTAACCCGGACTTTCGTGGACCGGCTAAGTACCAAGTCAGTACAATCTTCTGGTTTGCCTTCTCTACCATGGTTTTTGCTCCAAGTAATATTCAATCTCCCTTTCCACATCTCAACATAGAGTGGTTGTTTCTTTATGTGTATCGCTTTCCTTATTGCTTGAGTTGTGGTTTCCAGGAGAAAGAGTGTTCAGCTTTGGAGCTAGGGTTCTGGTTATCACATGGTACTTCATCGTGCTAGTGTTGACTCAAAGTTACACGGCCAGCTTAGCGTCTCTATTGACATCACGACAACTTGATCCAACCATAACCAGCATGAGAAGTTTGCTTGAGAGAGGAGAAAACGTTGGATATCCAAGAACATCATTCATCTTTGGAAAGCTTGTAGAATCCGGTTTCGCTCGATCCAGTCTTATACCCTTTGACTCCGCGGAAGAATGCGACAAGCTTCTGAGTAAAGGATCAGTAAAAGGCGGTGTCTCTGGAGCTTTCTTGGAAATACCATACACGAGACTCTTTCTTGGACAATACTGCAAAGCTTATCAAATGGTTGAAGAACCCTTTAGCGTCGATGGATTCGGTTTCGTGAGTTTCCATAAACAAAAAGGCTGTTATGAAATTTTTTTGAATAGGCTATAGATTATGCTCTAGATGCTAATAAGATCATTACCCTTTTTCGTAGGTTTTTCCGATTGGATCACCTCTGGTTGCTGATGTATCAAGAGCCATCCTAAAAGTGGCAGAATCACCCAAAGGGAAGGAGCTTGAGGTTAGATGGTTCAAAAAGAAAGATGAAACCTGTCCGGATCCAGTCACTAATCCAGATCCGAATCCGTCTACATTATCTAGGCAGCTTGGGGTAGACAGTTTCTGGGTTCTGTTTCTTCTTGCCTTTGCAATGTGCATTTTCACCCTCGGGAGATTCACCTTCTTTTTCTTCAAGAAGAGTCAAATGAATAATTTGTGGCAAGAGTTCAATGAACCAGATGGTGATTCTTACATCAACAATGTGGAGATTTGCCCGTGTTCTTCAAGCAGACACATGCCTGAAAACACCAGTCAGGAAACAAACCAAGCAGATGACGAGTAAGACACAATCACACAAGTAAGATACATTTGTGCATGGACTATATATGGAGAATATAACAATCATTAGAATTATTTACTACGTGTCGACGTGTCGTCATTTACTTGAGTTCACAAAACAACTACTTTACACGATTAATACAGTGGGAGAATAGTTTTCATCAAGGATGCAAGAAACTCTGTGAAAGCAGAATCATTTTCATGGTTTGCCTCAGATCAAATGTTTTGTCAAACCAAAATGTCGCTTTAAAATGAAAAGAAACATTATGATTAAACAAACGAAAACATCAGGTGTGATTTGATAAAACAACAATAAACCAGTTAATTTAGTTTGACTAGAAACTTTGATATTTAAAAAATAGAAAACACAACCTACAATATCCCAAATGAGAAACTTAAATCACTTCACACTATCACCCCGAGGCTTGACTATTTACCATCGGTCTTACAACAATTTAGCCATTTAAATATGTAATTTGAAAGAAGGAGAAAACGAAAAAGTGAGCAAAAAAAAAAAAAAAGTCATAATATAAGACATGGGTTTAAAAACACTATGGGATTACTCAACTGAAAATTGGGCAACTCAAAGAGTTAGAGCCTTCCAGAATTAAAAGATGGGATTATTTGACAATTTAATTATAAAACATAATTTAAAAAAAAAATTATCCATAAGAAAAATTATTAGTATGTATTTAATCTGCTTTTAGTCTGACAATAGTATGTATTTAATCTACCATTAATCTGCATATAATTTATGTTTAATTATATGACTAATCAGTTTGAAAGTAGTTTACATTTAGTCTACCATTATTTTATAAATAAAAAAGTTAAAAAATAATGCTGATATTTATAAAAATTATAAATATGATCATTTTTACAATTTTCTTTCAGTAGAATATCTGAATCACATTATTTTCTCATTATAAATCATTTTAAAATTTTTTCTCTATAAAGATTTATAACATATCAATAAAAATTTACATTACTTAAAAAATAAAATATATAAGATAGAGAAAACATATGATCTAATATGAAAAGGGCTGGCCAAAAAAAAACAGGCAAAAAAAAGGAGAAGAGAATATCTATGATTCTTTGTTGGTCAATCAATGAAATCCGAAACTATATGATTAGCATCTTCAAGTTTCTGCAGAAATCGCTTTCTTTAATTTATTTGGAGACAAGAATATTTGACGTGAAAGCACTCAAATCCACCAACTAAATATAATAATTTTGTTTACAAAAAAAGAACAATATTAAAACACAATTCTTAAGAGGAAAAAACCAAAAGCTCCTTTCAGGACAGAACATACCAATTAAAATAGGGCAGAATTATTTACTTTTAATGCAATTGGGATCGGACCTCAAACCATCTGAGATCATACGGGTGAATTAAGAAGCTATAGGCAACTTATTTTGCTTGTGACTGAACAAATGATCGTAGTTAATGATATTTTAAGAGTTTATTGACGTTTTATCACAAAGATGATAGGCAAGCAAAATGATGATGTTAAATCGAAGATAACGAGAAATTTTTTTTTTTTTTTGATAATATATTAGCGAAAAAAAGTCGTATAATTACTCTTATTCGATATACCAATACAATTAGTATATCTTTTTGAAGATGTATATATGCAACATTGTTATTTTTATACTTATTAATTACAAGTTAGTTGACAATTATAAAATTGACAAGTGTTATTTATTATTTTTGTTTTTTTAAATAAGAAAATACAAACGTAATTAAAACAGAGAAAAATAAAAACCAGTCCACATTCTTAACAATTTCGATTACGCATCAATTTTTATTATTTCACTAATTTATTTTTATTATATAAATCAAGTCAGTTGGCTAATTTAATTCTGACACATAAATAGATTTTTCACAAACAAAATTTGTATCCACACAGTGATTAAAAAGAAAAAAAATATCTAATAAATTGTTATCTTTAATTAAAAGGAACTCAAATTTTGATCTCTAATTTTCTGAAACAGAAAATTTTAACTCCCTAAATGTTTTTAAATTACTGATAGCTTACTATTTTAGAGCATTTTAGACTATATTTTATGCATCTTTTACTCTGTTTTTATATTATAGTTTAACATTTTAATATCATTTGCACTTAGAATCAACATGACATGCATTTAGTTTAGGATTGCATACATTTGCATACATGTGCATGTTTATGGTGGTTTTTAGGTGTTTTTGGAGAATTCTTGGAGTTGGGGAGAAGATGAAAGCAGTTCATGATCGAAGAGGATATCAGAAATAGAGCTTGTGCAAAGTCTGATCCATATCGAGCAAGGATATCGAGCAGAACACCCGTGGAGTGTGCTCAATGTAAGCTGCAGGACGTGAGGAAGAGGATCAGCAGGAGGAGTCTAGGCCGTTGGTCTGCATCGAGCTCCAGCATCGAGCAAGGAAGCCGATGTGCGCTGCACGAGCCATATCAAGGTCGCATATCGAGCAGAACACCATCTGTACCACCTCGATGCAACTCATCTGCGCATTGGCCATTTGACTTTTTGACCTTATCTTTTTTTTAGGTTTTTTATGCTTCTCTTGGTTCCCTACTATAAAAGAGAAGCCACAAAACATTATCTTTATCCAACTTTAATCTTTCATCAAAAACTCTCTCTTCTCTAAACCAAAAAGGGCGATTTGCCTTAGGATATTTATCTTTAATAAAGTTTGCATTTTTATGGTTTATACTTGTCTCTTGATCATTATTCTTGCACCTTGGTAGTTTAGATATATCATCTTTGCATTTTAATCTCATCTAGTTATGTTTAACTCAAAACAAATGGGATTAAACATGATTAGTGAGTAGTCTACCTTAGATTTAGGGTTCTAAGTAGAGAAGTGGTGATTAAGATGTGATTAAGGGGTGATTAAGCTTATTTAATTGTTCTCTGTTGTCTCCTTCTCTTGCAAAGTGATTATTTTTTATAAAGCTTGCTCATTTTGATTGAATATGGTATTGATTGATGCATATGGTTCACTAAATGACTTGTTATCTCATCTCTAAGCATGGTTCGCTTATTTGGCTGGCTTGATAGTTTGGTTGGTCTATGTTTCCTTTGTTCAGTGACACCAAAGTGATAGTTCACCATTGCTAGATGATTCGCTTAGGGCTAAATAATGCTGGTTTTGAGATTCTTGCTTGAAGGTTAGATAATATGCGTTGAAAGATCTTGCCTTTGTTTAATTCCTGCTCATTACTTAACATTGTTAGGATATTGCAGCTGTGTGTTTAAGTCCATATTTTTGATTGGTGCTTAGCTAACTAGGTCCTTATTGGTTCACAAGATTGATAAGTTGATCTGAATTCTTGCTTGAGTTAGAGAATGATTTCATGATTAGTACATCTCTTAGGCTAGAATGGTTCCGATCTTTATGCTCATGGTTGAAGAATACACCATCACAAGTGGGTTTGACACTTCAATCTTGTTGAATATGAACTGCTTATTGACGCGAAGTTTGTTCTTTTTAAATACCTTGTCTAGGAGTACAATATTGAGAATTGCTTACTTATGAATGCTTGATGCTTGTCTTTGTTAGAAATCCCCATTTTCACTCTTGAAAACCACTATTCTATAATTGCTTAGAACCTTGAGTCTTTCTTTTAATTAATTATTTTTAAGATCATTTTGCTTAGTTTTTGCTTTAGTTATCATTTTTGCTTAGTTCCTACTCAGTCATTGCTTTAAGTTCATTGCTTAGTTCTATTCACTTGCATTTAGTTTCTTCTTTCTTTCCATTGCATTGTTAGATTGTTAGACTTGTCCTTGTTAAATCAAAACCCCATCATTGCTTAGCTTATGGCATTATTTGCATCTCATCTTTCACAAATGAATTGACACCTGATCCATATTATATAACTGATTAGAGGCTAAGGATATTTGGTTCAAGACCGAAATAACTCTATTTCAATTACCACCATTACGTTCAAAGATAAATGATGTCATCTATAATTTCCATCCATCCCACAATTTCAAATTGTTTCATCTCCTATATAATTTCATCAACTCATCTTCTTCTCTATTGTTTCATCTTTTTTATTATTCTTTTTTCTTTAATGTAGCAAAAAACAAATGGATATATATTTATGTTTATTCTTTACTTAGATTTTTTATTATCTTCTTTACAATTTTTTTTATTCTCTGATTTTTTTCTAATTTACGACTACTCAAAATACTGCAAAAAGATTATATTTCAAATTTATATTTAGTTAATTAAATTATTTATTTACATTCTTAAAGAATACTTAGTATATTATCTGCTTACAAAATTACTTTTAATTAACAGTGTAAAATACAGTTTTAGGAAGATTTTCAAAATCATAACCTTTCCTATTGATTATTTTACTTCTTATATTTATCATTTATTTTGTATCTAAGAATCTACTGGCTCTTGCTATTTGGCTTACAGATGAGCTCAATCGGAGTGACCTGTGCATGAGTATCTGTAAACAGGAAAGGTTCAGTCGCTCTTGAAAGATATCAGTTACATCTGTTATTATTTCTTTATTATCTTGAAATGAGATACACATGCTGAAATTGATTGGCCGTTTGTAATTCGATGTAGGCAACAGACAAGTCAGTTGCTTTAATTAAATCACTTTAACAAATACAGTACTTCTTTGATGAGTCTTTTGGTTGTTAATTTTTTAGAATTTTTTGATATTTTAAATTAACAAAATACGATGTCCCAGGGCTAATACTACAGTTATACACACCGATGCATTTAAATCTTGCATGTATAAACAATTTATTGTAATAATGAAAATATGTTTAACTAAAAAAAAAAAATCGACCAATTGCTTTTAGAATGAAAGCCTAAAACTGATTCAAAATCAACTTTACACGGCATCCCTTAATATAGACATAGAATAAGTAAATAACTAATAAATCAGGAAGAGCAAAACGTGGTGGTGGCCTATCAAATCTTATAATTTGGACGAGGCAAATACACAATGTTCACATAAACGGAATAACCACTTGTAA